GGATACGCGTTCCGATGCGGGTGCCCTCCCGGTTAATCCCACCAAGCTGGGGCACCCCCAGTTCCCTGCACATGGGGCTAGTCCCGCCTGCCAGGCTCTGCCCGGCTAATTCCAGCTGAAGGCACTGACACTAATCCCGGCTCTGCTCCCCCAGCGCCTCTGCGGTGTTTCGTCCTTAGCTGCTGCCTCTAATTCCCCCTCCCTCCTGCACCACTTTCTGTTTGCTGATTTCGCCCCTATTTTCTTCATTAACGACCGTATTCATAGAAGCTTCCCCCCGACCCTGTTGTAATTTTTGCCAGCCCTCCTTCTCAATAAATGCCTTAGAGATGTGGAGAACTTTGTCTTAAAGCCCTGACTTTCTGACCTGATTATATGACGCTGCTTTCATTTTATTACTGCATGCGAAGAAGCTTGAAAGGCCCAAAATTTGTGGAGAAATGAAAATAAAGTGCCTTTATATTTTCCTTTGTGGACTTGCTAGTGAAACCTCCTTCATCACGTCTTCTCCCGAGTATTATCGGAGTCAGGCTTGCAGAGAAACTGCTGCTTGACACATGTGCTTTTAATTTAGCATTGCCATTCCCAACTAATCCCTTCATCTGCTAACAGATACGCTTACTCCTTCCTCACAGCACGGGGCTGGCGAGGAGGAGCCGTCCCCTCCCAGCTGACATGGTGGCAGATTTCCCTGCTGACCTTGAGTCCCCGAGAATGACTAGATGCTCTGAGATCACTCCATTTTACTTTGTCCCCATAGAGAGGTGCTCAAATGTGCTGCTTTCTCGTTGTTTTTTGTTTTTTTTTTTTTTTTTTAGCTGATTTGGGCTGAAAACAAGAGGCTGAACAAGGGGATGGATGCAGTGGAGAAGAGGGGACCGTACATCATGAGCAAGCCTCCCTCCATTCACACCAAGCTCCGTAAGCGATGCTCAGTGGCGTCCCAGGGACTCTGCCAGGATCTGGGGACACATCCCCACCTCTCACTCAGGGCGGGAGTGACCCAAACAAAGCCTTTTCGTTGTTTGATGGGCTCTCCTTAGGACCTGCAATACCCCCTTGCCCCCTAAAAAAAAGACCCCCGGGGGACATTTTCAGCTCTGCCTCTGTGCTTGGCTTGCAGAGAGGCAGCGGGAGCTGGCAAAGGCAGCGCTGCGAAGGCAGGGGCTGCTGGGGGGACCCGCCCTGCACCACCCGAAGCCGGCGGCTAAAAGGTCTGATCCCATTTTTTCCTTTTCCCCAAGAGGTATTTTTCACATTCCTTGGGGAGTTGGGGGAACTCGGAAGGATTTAAAAAAAGGGGGCTGGGACTTTGGTCTGCTGGCTCTGTTGTGGCCAGCAAGCAGCTGATTTACTAAAAGGTAAGACTTTTCCTCTGAAAGTTAGGAGTTGCTAACAGTGAGGGCCCACGCTGCTTCTTCTCTGTTTTGGGGATAGTTTGGTGTTAAGGATTTAACCACGGAGCCTAAAGCTTAGACAGAGTTTATTCATAGCTGGTGGTGGCCCTGGATAATGTCTGTGTGGGAAGGCACATTCAGGATGGGGATTCCTGCCCTTGCTTCTCAGTCCAGCAGCTCTGTGGCTGCATTTCCACACCAAAACATCTGTCACAGGCTTTCCCCTCTGCTTTCTGGCAGGTCGGTGAAGTTTAATAAGGGCTACACAGCGCTTAGCCAGACAGTGGATGACAACCTGGTCTCCCTCGATTCGGACAGGTGGGGACTGGGCAAATAGCTTGGGATTTTGGGTGGGGGATGTTGCAGGCTCAAAGCTGGCTGGTTTTTGGGGGGATTTATTTTCCTTGTCACTTGTAGAGCACCCTTGACTGCACGGGGGCCCTGTCAGCAGCAGAATGCTCCTGTTGTTCCAGATTTAACAAATCCCTTAGGGTTATGCTGCCCGCTCCCTTTCCCCTCTCCCCGAGATTCCCTTGTCTGTATCCTAAGCAAAGATGCCACTTCCTGGCTGGCTCTGACTGTTTCCTTCTTCTCTCAGTGACGGGGAGCTGGGATCCAGATGTTCCTCAGGCTACTCCTCTGCTGAGGCAAGTCCAGGGGTTTGACCCCACGGGCATGGTCCCCGCGGGCTCCCCCCATTACACCTCAGGGTCTGTATAGAGGCTAAACTGAAGCACCACCTGTGGGGTGATGAAGCAGCCCATGGGGTGTTTTGCGGTGCATGGGGGATGTATGTTGGGGTCCTGCAGCCCAGGAAAAGCTCTTTGGCTTTGCTTTCGTCTTCCCTGCTTTGGTTGTGCTGCATCTCCCTGTGCAAAGGTGCTGGAGGGAGGATGCGACGCCAGTCTTGCTGGCGGCCCTATCCTTTGCAAGCCCTGGGACCTAAGTTTTAACTAAACTGGGACTGATTTTAACCAGCTCTGCCTCCTTTGTCCCCCTCCCCAGCAGGTGAACCAGGACCTGAGCCGGCAGCTACTGCAGGATGGGTACCACCTCGATGAGGTCCCTGACGATGAAGATTTGGATCTTATCCCGCCAAAACCTGTCACCTCCTCTTCTTGTCCTCGTTGTTTTGGGGAAAATCTCTCCTGTGTGATCCAGTAGAAGCCGCTTGGCCAGGGCCATGCAAGAACAGGTCAAAAGCCAGCACTTTCTTTGTCCTGTGGGAGGGCTGTTGGTGTCCGCGTCCAACGCCGGGACGGTGACACAAAGGACTGAATAATGCTGTGATGCCACTTGCGGTGAGCAGCACGAACCACCCAACCCCAAAGGACTTCTCATTCCCCTCAGCAATATCAGGGAGAGGTGGCACGGTGATGTTTAGGTGGGCTGGGTGGGGAGGGAGGAGAGGCAGAGCCCTGACACCTCCTTGGGGATGTGAATGGAAGGAACTGGGAGGTGCAGCAGCAAATACTCCTAGTTTGTCTGACCTCCTCTTTCCTCCTTTAATTGGCCATGTCAAGGGCCAGGTCCTGGCCTCAGATGGGTTGCTCTTCCCAGCCCTCCCTAATGAAGAGCTATTTGATAGTGGGGTCAAATTGCCATGGTGTGGGACTGAGCTGGGAAGCCCCAAGACCCCTTTTCTATTTATTTTTGCTTTAGTCACTCCTTTATTCCTGGGAGGCTGAGGCCAAGCTGCTTCATTTACCTATTTCATGCTGCTTCCAGTGAATTGCTGCCGGGTTCTCTCTGCCCAGAGCCTGGGCTGATCTGAACCAAAGATTGTGGCTCTGCTGGAGAAGGGAAGAGGGGGAAACCCACTGGAGCAGTTTGGGGGAGGCTGCTGAGCTTTAAGCATCTGTATTTGTTATATCCACCAGCAGCTACTGCTCGGGCTGGGACCTCCCTGCCTTCTGCCTCTCGAGGGTCCGTTAACTTCTGGGTTTGGAGCTAACTGTTTGTTCTCCCCAAAGCTGCTTTGAAGCAGGCGAGGGGCAGCCCAGACCCCCCCGTGCCACCTCTGCACAGCTCCTGGTTTCAGGTTTGGGGTGGCTGGTGAGTCTACCTGCTGTGAACCTTAAAAGCTGCCTTAAATCATGGTCCTGCTCTACTACATAGAGGACAATCAGCTTCTTGTAAAGAAACCTTATTTAATTATTTCATGTGTAGAGACCTGAACTTTTTTTTTTTTTTTGTATTTTCCTTGTTAAAGGGAACACTAAATAAACTGGATCTCGTTACTCTGAGTGCATGTGGTGCTGTGGTGGGTGGCCAGGCCTCACTCCCCACAGCAGCTCTGCTCAGGAGGGCTCCTTCCCTGCCTCTGGTGTATTTTCAGAGTGATCTGGTTTCCCTGGTCACGTTTTATCCCAGTGTCCCGGTTCCCTGCTGAGCTGCCTGCACTGATGTTGCAGCCGGCACCAGGGGAATGCGAGCTACCTCCAGCCTTCTCTGGTCCCTGGTCCCTGCAAACACCAGTGCTTCTCCCCATCCTCCTCCTGCTCCCTCCACCACACTGCCTTGCACCTAGGACAAAGTCACCACTTTATTCACAGCACCAGAGGCTCTCCAGCTCCATCACCCCGCTAGGCAGCCCCCCTTTAACAGCCAGGGAAGGGGTGACCTGGCTCAGAGGGCTCCCTGCCATCCGCCTGGCTTGGGAAGAGCTCACCAGGCACCCAGGAGCAGCAGAAAGTCTCAGCATCCCATTTGCAGGAGGGAGCAGCAGCTCTCAGAAGCTGGGCAGAGATGCTTGAGACCTGGGGTGCAGAGCTTGGGCCTCCCTGATGCTTCTCAGTGAGAAGGAAGGGGGAAAATTAATAAAAGGAGTCACCGTACAGCATTAGCAGCACCCAGAGTAGATGTTACGGGGATGTGACTAACAAGCTGTGAGGGGAGATGCTCTTCCTCTGCCTGGTCTGCTCTGTGCCACATCCAAGGAGTTGATTCATGGAATTTTTCTTTCTACACATTGGCTGTGGGCTGGTTTAGGGGTTTAATAGACGGAAGGGAAACTTCCAAGCGAGATGACTTTGCCCAGACCAGTTTCTATCTACTCAAAATGTGGAGTGATGGGGGAGAAGGTGTCCTGGGTCCCACTCAGAGGAGGCAGCAGGCTCGGAAAAGCAGCATCCCATCCGGCGAGGAGAGGTGGAGGGAGATGCTCTCGTTAGCAGAGATGAAGAGCACGGAGCCACGACGCAGGGTCATTTCAGAGGCTGCGGCTGTGGAGGTGCCCACGGCCGTCCCTTGGATCACCAGCAAGATGCTGGCAGAGTCCACAGCGGAGACCAGGTACAGCTTGATGGAGGCAGGTATCTGCAATGGAAAGGGTCACAGCCGAGGCAGGAGAAAGTTGGTGCCCCCCTGCCCGTGTCCCCAGAGCAGGCCCGGCGTCACTCACCTCTATCCTCATGATGGCAAAGTCTGGCACAGGCGGGTCATAGAGGTAGATGCTGGGGTCAAGCTGGCTCTGAGCAGCCGGGAAGATCTTGGAGCTGCTGGGCGCCGGTGTGTAGTTGAGCATCTCGCACAGGGTGAGGACGTCGATGAATTTGGGGGTGAGCCCGGCACGCACAGTGTTATCCGAGCATGCCATGCACTCCACGCAGTCTACGGGGATGAGGCAGCACTGTCAACCCACCCCAACCCGCCCGCACAACCCCGGCGGGGTTCCAACCTTGCGCCGGAGACTGTGGCCACCCTGCGGGACAGTCCTGGCAGGGTCCTGGGTTGGGAAAGGCCATGGCGATTCTCACCTCCATGCAGGTAGGCGTGGGGCTCGTTGGCCCCCAGGTACATGGCCTCCCCGGGCTCCAGCCTCACCAGGTTGAGGAAATAAATGGTGAAGCAG